TGGCCTGCTGTGTTCTTCCAGCTGTACACCTTAATACAGACTGGTGAGCCTGAAATCAAGTGCTGCCCGTCCTTATACAGGTCACTTGTACCTCAGAAGAGATTTCAATGATGCAAAAATGTGTATCGTTCTCCCCTGCACCAGCTCCTCAGCCAAGCGTTCATCTGCTCTATCCTCCTATTCGTAACCTCACTAGCTTGTGATAATAGAAGTAATCCAGATATTACTATCCTCGAGGACCTACTTTTTAAATTCCTGCCCAATTTTCTATATTCTGTCCTCAGAATCTCATCCTTTTCTCTTGCTATGTTGATGGTTCCAACATATATAACAACCTGCTTCTGGTTCCTCCCCCTTTTGAGAATATTCTGCACTCTCTCTGAGATATCCTTAATCCTGGCACCAGGGAGGCAACTCACCATTCTGATATCTTATTGCTGTCTGCCTGTACCTGTGACTAGAGAGTCCCTTACCACAGTCGATCTCTTGGAAACCAACATACCCCTTGTTACAGTAGAGCCAGTCTCAGAAACTTGGCTGTCAGTGCTACATTCACCTGAGAGTCCATCATCCCCTACATTTTCCAAAACAGCATACATGTTTGAGATGGGGATAGCCACAGGAAAGGTCTGCACTACCTGCCTACCCCTCTTACCTTTCCCAGAGGTAACCCATCTACCTGACTGTGTCTGCAGTTTTTCTACCTTCCTGAAACTGCCAACCATCACACCCCCTAGCTCCTGTAAATTCCTCTTTACCTCTAACTGCTGCTCCAACCCATCCATGCAATCTGATAGGATTTGCAACCAAACATACTTTCTGCAGACATAATCATCAATAGCATGGAAATTGTCCATAATCTCCCACATCCAATTCGAGCACATCACTGTACTGAAAGCCATCTTTGCACCCTAACAATTTACAGACCCAGAAAACAGCACAGTCTTACTGCTCCAAAAAGCACTGCTGTAGGATAACTTAATACCTATATTTTATATTTAAAAAGCAGTTTAATCTAGATACAGATCTCAATAAACGTTGGAAAAAACCCTGCTCACTATTATAAATTTACAAACAAGCGGAGTATGATTAGAATTAATAAACCACTTAATTGATTCCCTGTTGTGAAGAACTCCCGACAATGGGTTTCTTCAAGGTCAGCTGTGAATTTTGCCGTTTGTTTATTTTTCTTAGGCTGAACTGGGATGTCTAGATATACTTGAACCTAACAGTAGAGGCAGTCATCTGTGAAAGTTCACTGCCTAGCCAGATGCCAGTGCAGGTTCACTAATTTTTCTGAAGAAGGGTCTAGGCCCGAAACGCCAGCCTTCCTGCTCCTCTGATGCTGCTTGGCCTGCTGTGTTCATCCAGCTCTACACCTTGTTATCTCAGATTCTCCAGCATCTGCAGTTCCTACTATCTCTGTACCTTTTTATTGATTGGGCAGGATGTTAATCATTCAGATTGCACTTATTCAGTGAAACCCTGAAAATCTAATAACTGTGAAAATACAGGATGCGATAGGGTCACGATCTAATGTTGATATTTCTTGCCTCCTGTAGAGTTCTGGGCCATTTTGAGAAGCCTCTGTTTCTGGAGCTGTGTAAACACATGGTCTTCCAGCAGTTCCAGCAGGGGGAGTACGTCTTCCGACTGGGCCAGGCAGACAACAGCATCTATGTGGTACAGGATGGCAAGCTGGAGCTCAGCCTGATGGGAACTGTAAGTTTGGCCTGGAAAAAGACACACAATAAGTGGTAGATTACTATTTTCTCCCAAGTATTAGTTCAACTGATTTTTAGTGTAGTCAATTTTAAAGGAGCTCACTCAATCAATGCAAATAATTCTCCATGACTTGCTGCATTGTATTGGATAGCATTGATCACCCAGCTTTCAACAGATTTATGGGATATATAGTTTCCTAGCTTCTCCTCTGTTTTAGAGGCAGTGAGAGGCTCTGCTGACTCCAGCATCCGCTCCAGGGATCTTAATTCTTGCTCAGGGAATCTCACCTTTTCACAGAATCATCATAGAATCCCTAATGTAGAAGCATTCAGCCCGTTGAGTCCACACTGACCCTCCGAACAGCATCCCAACTTATAGGAAACCATTGTTCCAGGTTGAGTCATACTTGTCATGGAATATCATTTTTGTTTCCTGTTCTTTTCCTCTAATTGTGGCTGTAAGCTTCACCTTGATTTTAAAAAATAAATCTTTGCCTCATGTTCTGCATAGAGATTCGAGCAGATTACTCTGTCAGTTCAACAGAAAGTGCTAAGTACAATGTTCAATGCTGCTGTTGTAGCCATGTCAAAAACCATGCAAACTCCTTCAAAAGCAAGTATGCCTCCAAGGTGGAGAAAGTAGAGGAACCCCTGAGCCAACAACTTGTTCAGAACTCTGCTTCTTACTGTGTCCTGTCCTATTTTGTCCTATGAGCAGGGCTGAGAATGAATGAGTAGGGGCAGGGGTGTTAAATCTAGGTGTATATGCAGAACACCAGGAACTAATTGCCAAAGTGGATGAAGCAGGCCATTAAAACAGTGAAAAGAGAGTGTGTTGAAGTGGCATGTGAAAAGTTCATGCACAGGACAACAGCAGGTTTTCTTATTAGAGATTGGAAAAGTGGAGAGTTTTTCATGTTTTCATGGGATGGCCAGCATTCATTGTCCATCCTTAAGTTGCCTTGAACTGAGTGGCTTGCTACAGCTACTTCAGAGGGCATTGAGAATCAACCACATTACTCTGGGTCTGGTGTCTCATCTAGGCCAGACTGAGTCAGAGCAGCAGATTTGAGCCTCTTAACAACTGTTGATGGTCACCATATAATAGCTTTATAATGCAAGATTATTAATGGAGTTTTAAGTTCCAGCAGCTGGCATGACTTGAACCATATAACCAGACCATTAACCTGGGCCTGTGGGTTGATAGCCTGTTGCACTGCCAGAACACCATTGTCTCCTCAGTATAAAATATGTTTTACTGGTGAAGTCTTGAATAAATATCCCATTTCTGTACTAGGACAATCTCTAATTCTAATGGCTTCTGTCTACCTCCCTGAGACATTTGTAATGAACTTGTATAACAGGGGTAACAAGGTGTGGAGCTGGATGAACACAGCAGGCCAGGCAGTATCAGAGGTGCAGGAAAGCTGACGTTTCAGGTCTGGACCCTTCTTCAGAAAATACAGGGGGATGTTTTCCTTATAAGATAGTCTCAGTTGCAATACAGAACCTGCAGAAGCATTTTCTTATTCCAGAGGCCTGTCTTTCTGCACAAGTTAGCCTTCAAATGTGAAGAAAGGTGTTGTTTTGCAGGAGATACATTCTAGCATTGTTGTTAAATTTTATTTTTCTTATGACTTTGGGGGCAAGGATACAATATCGAAGCTGTGCTTGTAAAGGTTTATTATCACGTGGGATGTGACTGTGGATCAGGATTCTCAACCTCCAGAACTTTTGCATTGCCAGAGTCATGCAGATATTTTTGTTGTTTGTATTTTTCTGCAGGATGGGAAGGAATGTGTTGTGAAGGAGATTTTCCCTGGTGATAGCGTGCACAGTTTACTTAGCATTCTTGATGTTATTACGGTAAGTGAGTTCGTTCCAACATATTTTCAGGTTGGAAAATCTCCCCCAACTCCCTGCACCCACCCCCATCCCCACATGCACGCACATGCTCGCAGACTCATGCACTCCCACTGTGCAGTGCTTGTAAATATCATTGTCTCAAGACCTTCAACTTTGCAAACCTGGGGCATCTACTGACATCCATTAATAGTTAACTGACATTCAAATAATTGTGGCTGATAGCTCTGATCTCCAGTAGTTCACATATTGCTCAATGTCTGGCTTTGTTCTATTAACTTTTGTGATCCACACTCAGGTTTGCAGTTTGAGCAGAAATAGTTACAGACATTGTCTGTGGGAGAGCCTTGCGTTATTGGGTGAGGGATGGAAATAATTCTGGGTGCTTTTGAATTATACCAGGGTCACCAACGACCATACAAGACTGTGTCTGCTCGAGCTGCTGAAGAATCAACTGTGCTTTGTTTACCAGTGGAGGCATTTCAGACAATTTTTGAGAAGTATCCTGAAAGCCTGGTCAGAGTAGTACAGGTGAGCGCTTTGGCTGAACAAAGGATTTATTCCTTTTCTGCAAAAATGCACAAACAATAAAACCACATGCCCTCACTGAACATGATTAATGTCTATAGGCAATGCTGAGGCCTGTTGTTTTAGAGTAGAGAGTTTATGTTTCATACTCTTCTAGAATTCAGGCGTATATTCATTAATCAATCCTGAACTTAACAGGGTATGGACTTGGCAATAATATTGTTGTGAAGCCAGGAAAACAAAACTGTTTCCCTGAATCCAAGTCATATGTATATTGAGTTGTGTTTTCTACAAATTCTGTTTGAGTAGAGGATTCAATCTGGTAAACTATCAGGTGTGTTGCTCGGAATTGAGAGAATGCAAGATGATGGTCAAAGCTTTGGAAGGCAGGTGGGGGTAGGAAAGTAGTAACAATGAGGGTTGCAATGGAACTGGCAATCCAGGTAGGATTTATTTTGGGTCTGTACTATTCACAAAATTTACTAGCAACTTGGATGATGGGATGGAAAGCCGCATATCTAAATTTGCTGATGACACAAAGACAGGCAATGTTGGTAAGCAGTATAGATAGAAGCATAAAATTACATGGAGACCTGGATAGATAAAGAGACTGAGCAAATATGCAGTCAGCTACTTTGGAAATAAAAGGGATAGAGCAGAACATTTTCTAAATGGTGAAAAACTAGAAACAGCAGAGGTATGTAGAATAATTAAAATGTTGTGAACAGGTGCAGAAATAAATCAAGATCAGTAAAATGCTTAGTCTTGTATCATAGAATTATAGAATCCCTACAGTGTGGAAGCAGGCCATTCGGCCCATCGAACCCACACCAATGCTCCGAAGAGCATCCTACCCAGACCCATTTCCCCCCTACCCTGTACCTGTAACCCTGCATTTCCCATGGCCTAATCACCTAGGCTGCGCATCCCTATGCACTATGGGCAATTTAACATGGCCGATCCACCTAACATGTAAGTCTTTGGACTGTGGGAGGAAACTCATGCAGACATATGCAAACTCCACACAAACAGTTGCGTGAGAGTGGAATTGAATCCAAGTCCCTGGCGCTGTGAGGCTAACCACCGAACCACCACGTCACCTTTATCTAGAGCATTAACAGTAAGGCTGTAGAAGTCATGCGTCAGATCTTACAGTGCCCTGATCAGGCTGTACCTGGAGTACTAAGAGTCTCACTTAAGGTTAGATGACCTTAGAGGGAGTGCAGGCTAAGTTTGCCAGATTGATAGCCTGGACACCAAGTATTGAGCCATGAGGGAAATAAACAAACTAGGATTGTGTTCCCTTGGACTTCAATCAAAGTATTGAAGCTAATAAGGGGAACAGATGAGTAGAATGGAAAGAAATCCATGTTTACTGATGTGGCTCAGACTAAAGCGGGTGGCCTTTCAGGAGTGAAGTTTGAAATTGTGTGACAGTAGTAAAAGCTTGGAATTCTTCTGCATCAGCAATTGGTGAAAGATCAATTGTTATTCATCAGATTTTGGTTATCCTAAAGGATGTGGGGCATTGGTTGATAAATGGAGTTAGATTGCAGATAATCCATTATCTCGCTAAATATTGGATCAGGCTTGAAGAACTAAATGCCTTCATCCCATTTACTAGACTTTGAGGGTATAAGACCATTTTGATAGGAAAGATGATTAGATTTACTGTGTTGAAATTAGCTATTTCATATTCATTGACCAATATGGTAGTTTCGTCACTGCCTGTCTAATTTATCTGATAAATATGTTGAATTGAAGTTTCTCAAGCAGATTAGAAGAGTCCCTTTTAATGATTCCTATACAGTTGCATTGTTTCTTGCCTAAATGCAGTGCTATTCCCGCAGAGCCTATATGGAATAGCTGTGGGCCAATACGCGTGCTACTGAAATATTGACTTTCCTTAACATAAGGAAGTAAGAAGGCAAGTGAAGTCAAAAAAGTCCGTAGAACGCATAGTGTGTCTTTGATCTGTGTCTATGCTTTTATCAAGACAAAGTGTTAATCAAACCAAATGCACCCAGATACTGCTGAATTATTTTTGTATCTTTACCAGATTATCATGGTGCGGCTACAGAGAGTGACATTCGTGGCTCTGCATAACTACCTAGGCCTGACGAATGAACTCTTCATTCAGGTTACTGTTTTATCACTCTCTCTGTTTGAGAACCTGTGGTTGTTTGTCTGCAGTTTCTCTAGGAGTTCTCTTAATCTCCTATCGTGACCTTGCTGGAATACCGGGCCTTCTGTGATTCTCTGCACTTTTACATTAGAAGCCAGGGTGCCCCTCCCCATGGGAAACTCAACTGGTGTAAGGAAATCTTGTGGCTTCCTTTCTCTTGGTTGTTAAGTGAGGGCAAGTTTCGCCTGATCGCACAATCCAAAGGGCAGTTGAACAATGCAGCATAATGAGCATAGAGTGTCAGCTTCCAGTCATGCTGCTGGCCTGCTTGATGTGGAGCCTGAGGTTGGGGGATGGGGGAGTGTGTGGGGCAGGAGTAAGTGGAGTGCTGTCTGTTCTGTCAGCTCCAAAGTGTGATTGCAGCATAACTCCTACAGAGTTCCACTGCAAAGTTGCATTGGATATGCAATCTTCGTTTACATGGCAAAGTGGATTTATTTCCAAATGTGTCAAAATTGCACAGCATGTAACTTGGCCATTCTGGACCACTCTGTGCACAGGGTCTGGCATTAACCTTCAATTAAAACTGAAGTATCAAACATGTGAGAACAGAGTGTGACCCCTTGTGGACTGAAGACTGCTGGCCATGACAGCAGGGCGGAAGTTGTTATCGTGAAGCAGTAGCAGTTACATTTGCCAACGTTACACAATAGAATGTTAAAATTCTGCATTTAGACAGGGAGAGCTGATTTTTCCATCATCTGTGTTCCTTTTGATGAGCTCCCGAATGAAAGCTCTGTTCTGGCCCGCAGTAAATACAAAATTCTGAAGGAGTGCCCCTGAAGATGTCGAATGACTGATTTGCAAGGGAAGGAGTTTAGGGGTGAGGAGTAGGGTATTCTGGGGGCTGATGGTTGGAGGTTGTCTTGTCTGGGAGTGATTCTGGTGGGTGGAAGCAGTCACCAGTCTATCCTCAGTGAAAAGTAAGTCAATTGGAGTTTCCCTTTCCCCATGAACTGCTTCCCACTCAGCCATCAATTTTGTATCCCTGCCTTTGAGCTAGGAGGCCTGGATTCAAGTCCCACCTGCTCCAGAGTTGTGGAATCTCACATCTAAACAGATTGATGAGAAAAATATCTATTCTTGTCTGGAGAACTGTCTGAACCCTGAAGGAACTGGCAGTAAGAAACTGCTGTTTAAATGGAGTTAATGTCACTGGGTGTGAATATGTCCACCTGCTTCTGGGCATCCTTTTTTAAATGTTCATGAGCACTCTGATCATCCAGGAGGGTTTACATAAAGTCATTTTGTTCAGAAGTGAATTGTAATTGATACACAGAAAGTGGCCTGGCACGTTCAGATTCCACAATGTTGAGTAGTTAAGTACAGGTCTTGACCTCGAGATATGCTTTTGTTTAGCATCCATGTTAACAAAGTAAATAATCCTATACCACCTCGCATTTCAAGAACTTGATAACTAGCACAACAACAATCTACCAAATTGCTGATGAGGTAATGACCGATAAGATGCTGGAATGTGACTACTCTGACAGCCCATTCAGCAATAAGCATCAGTGACCCAGGATATGTCTGCACTCTGTGGAAGCATTGGCTTCTTACTGGGCTTCATCTGGAGAGCAGAGATTAGTAGGTTCCTGTGTGGGAAAGTGAACAGCATGGGCAGTCAGTGATTGCAAGTCCGAACCCAGGCAGCCTTTTGTTTGGAGCATGATCACTTAAGGGTGTGACTTGGCAGGTCTAATTTAATAACTTGGTGACAGGCCTACAAACAGCCTGTATGTGTGAAAGGATTGGTGACACTAACTCTGATTGACAGCGAGCATGTCCTTTATTCAATGTTAGGAGAACCAGCCATCACGCCTGATTCCGCAAGCGAGCTGCACCACACGGACAAGCCCTGTGCGATACCGCCGTTTCACCAGTGTGCCAGTAGCTGAAGATCAGAAGGATACTGCTGGGAAGTTGATTCTTGACCCAGGTGGGGGTGGACGTTGGTTCAAGGCACCATATTGTTGCGATTATTGATGTAAATATGATACTATCATGTAGGCAGTCTGTTTGAATCACTTAATTTTGTCAACGTTGGGGAATTGGTGGTGTCATGGTTATGGCATTGTTAAATTCATCCAGAAACCATGGCTAACACTCTGTGGTCATGGATTCAAGCTCCACCACAACAGTTGGTGGAATTTAAATTCATTTAGTTTCTTAAAAAGAAAACTCTGGAATTCAAAGTTAGTGTCAGTTATGGTGACTGGAAAACTATCAACAATTGTTGTCAGAACCTATCTGCTTAATGAATGCCTTCTAGGAAAGGAAATCTGCCATCCTTAAGCCGTTTAGCCGACATATGAATCCACGTGCTGAACTCTTTACCGCTGTCTGAAATGGCCGAGCGTGACACCAACCTCAATGGATGGATAACAAATTTTGGTCTTTGCAGTGACGCCCACACCCCTTGAAAGAATAAATAAGACCTTCCCACGTTTGTTCAGTCATTCCAAGAAACTGTGTCGAGCATAAGATGTTAAATTCTTAAATGTGTTATGATTTCCCTAAACTTGTGCTTATCTTTCCCAGAACTCTATATTTGAATCCCTCTGATTGGGTTTACGCTGTGTGCTAACCGTTGAAACAACATAGAGCACAGTTGTGGCAAGACCTTTTCTTTATTCTGTTATAGGATGAGGGTGTCATTGCTGGATCAGCGTTTATTGCCTGTCCCTGGTTGCCCTTGAGAAGGTGATGGCAAGCTGCCTACTTGAACCACTGAGTCAGAGTCCTTTTTCTACTTTTAATGCTCCCATCTTCCTTGCAATGAAGGCCAACATTCCATTTGCCTTTCTAATACATGCTGTGCCCACATACTAATTTTGGTTTGTTCATGGTTATGCACAGCTTCCCCATATTGTAGATCTTCCTCTTTTTAGTGAATTTGCTTTTGTAGTCTTATCAGCCAAGTAGGCAGCTGCATGTTTCTCCATGTCATACTCCATTTTTACCCACTCACTTAACCTACCTATAACCATCCGTGTCCACATCACAACATGCTTTCCCACCTATCTTCGTATCGTCAGCAAGTCTGGCTAAAGTGCACTCGACCCATTTTTCCATGCCATTAGTTGTGACTGTAAATAGTTGAGGCCCCAGCACTTCAGAGGCATATATTTAAGAAGACTGTATTTTTCCCACTAGTTGGTTAGTAAACATTACAGCTGCAGTATAAAGCAGTATTGTTAAACGAAGGGGATTAGCATTCTCATTTGCCTAACTATTGTGACATTCACAATGCTAAGCAGACTTTGCATCAACAGTTCCATTTATAGTATTTCCTTTCTATTTATCTGAATAGCCTTCTATTACTGCGCAGTTAGTCTGGTTGCTTGGAGCTTAGAAGGAGTATTGTAACCCCGCGTTGTTTGATGCTAGACACATCTTGGCTGTAATTACTGCATTTATGTGCTTTCCAGATTTTCAGTTGCAATAGACTTATGGCTGAGTAATAAGTCAGAAAATAACTATGTATTCCTGCTCAAGTGAGCTACACCTTTTTAATGAAACTGTCTTCAGTACACTTTTCAGGCGACAGACCGTTTCATTTGACAGATTAATTTGTGGATTGCGTCCAATTCTTCCATGGTTCTTATGACACTAATTTAATGATGTTAATGATCTGGAGATGAATGCAGGAGGTATCATCGGCAAGTTTGCAGATGACATGCAAATTGGAAGTGTTGTAAATTGCAAGGTGAAAAACTTTCAACTACAGAATGATATAGACCAGCTGGTCAGATGGGCTGAACCATGGCAAATGGAATTTAATCCTGAAAAGTATGCAGTGTTACATTTTGGGACGTCTCACAAAGCAAGAGAATACTTGATGAATGGTATGACCATAGGAAGTTCAGAAGATCAGAGGGAGTTTGATGTGCATGTCCACAGTTCCTTGAAGGCTGCAGGACAGGAGGATAAAGTGGTTAAGAAGGAATATACTTGCCTTTAAGTTGGGACATTGCATACAAGAGCAAGGAGATTATGCTGGGGCTGAAGACAGCATTAGTTAGATCACGGCTGGAGCACCGTGTGCAGTTCAGGCCACCACGCCATAGGAAGGATATGATTGCACTGGAGGGGTGTAGAGGAGATTCACCAGGATGTTACCTGGACTGATTCAGCTTTGAAGTGTGGCTAGGTAAGCTGAGGGGGTACGTGATTGGGGGTCTATAAGTTGAGGGACATAGGAAGGGTAACAAAGGGAAAAGCATTGAGACTTACTAGAGGAGCCAGTAACCAGAGGGCATAAATTTAAGGTAAGGAACAGGAGATTTGGAGAGGATTTGAGGAAAATGTTTTTTTATCAGAGAGTGGTGGGCATCTGGAACTTGCTGCCTGAAAGGGTGATAGAGACAGTAACTTTTAAGACATTTAAGTATTTAGATGAGCACTTGAAGTACTATAGCATACAAGGCTATGGGCCAAGTGCTGGGAAGTAGGATTAGAATGATGCTTGCTTGATAACCAGCATGGACACACTGGCTGAAAAGCCTTTCTTCCATGCTGTAACATCTCCAACTGTAACTACCTAATACAACAGCGTAGAGCACTGGTTCAGTCTTAGCTGAAGGAATGTGCTCAGTTCTGGGTATCGCACTTTAGAAATAATGTGAAGGCATAAGAAAAAGAGTGCAGCAAGATTCCCAAGAACAGTTTAGGAGATGAAGAGCGTTAGTTATATGGATAGATTGGAGAAGCTGGGACTGTTCATTCGAGATGAGCAGTTTGAGAGGAGACTTGATCAAGTTGTTTCCATTGGTGGGAGGATAGAAAAACAGATGGCATGGATTTAAGGTAATTGGCAAAAGAAGCATCAGAGACTGAGGAACATTTTCATGCATTAAATGATTCAGATCTGGAATGCATTGGCTGAGTGTGACTGGTGGGGGCAGGTTCAATGAAGGTATTCAAGAGGGAATTGGATTATGTTCAAAAAATAAGTAATATGCAGAGGTACAGAGAGACTTGAGAAGAAAAGCCTTAGGTAAATCACTCCCATGGAACACCAGTGAAAGACACCACAAATGACCTGTTTCACTGCTGTAACAACTCTACAATTTTGTGTTAGCTTCCCCCCCTCCCCACCACCATGTCATTGCTTACAGTTAAGTTAGGATGGAAGCTCTTTGTGAGATTTGGCTTCCAACTTAGCCCCACACGGTCTCGCAATCCATCCTTGGTCACCTCCTTTTTCGTTTATGAAGGCATGGAGCCCACTGACCTGCTTCTCTCCTTACTTCTTGTTCCCTCCCTGCTTTACCTTGTCTTGAGACAAAAACTGTGCAGTGAGTCTAGTGTGACTTAACTCTGACCCGAGTCCCCTAGCTTCACTACTGTTCTTGGCAAAACTGTTTTCTGTTTCATTCTATCAGTTGTGGCCAGTACTGTCTGCTGTGAATCAGAAGGTTTAGGTCCCACTTCATGTCGTTAGCAGAAATGTCCAGTGCAGTATTGAGGGAGTGCTGTGCTGTCTGAGATGCTATCTTTCTGATGTGATGCTTAATCAAGACCCTGTGTATCACCCGAAGTAAATCTATTGTAACCTGGTACACCTCTGTCTTGCCTTCCCTGAAACCTCCTTTTCTCCCAGCAGTGCAAGCCCAGCTTCTCCAACCCAACTTTGTAGCTAAAATCCCTGATCCCTGGAACTATTCTAGTAAATCACCTGTGCACCCTCTCAGGGATCCTAAATCCTTCCTAAAATGTGATGACAAAAGCTGTCTGCGTTCCTGTAGTTGTGAGTCATCAGACCTATACAAATGTTCAGCATATCTTCCCCACCTTTGCACTTAAAACCCTATTTGTGAATTGTGAACCAATTTATATTGGTTATTAATCACTCTTTAAATACGTCCTGTTGCCTTCAAAGATTAACACAGTTACTTCAAGGTCCTTCTGTCCCTCCATACTCTTCAGAATTATGTCATTTAGTCTACAATTCCCCGTGCTCTTGCTCACACTCTCTCACTCTCAGGTGCGTGCTCTCTCACACACTCACTCTTGCCAAAATGTATGACTTCACATTTCCAATACGTTCCATCTGCTACTTGCCTGCCCTTTCCCTTGGAACATCTGCATCTGGTTGCATTCAGTTTGCACCATTCTTGCTGTGCCACAGCTTCAAGTTTGTAACATCAGCAAGTTTTCACATTTTACACTACATTCCAATATGAAGTTCAGTATGTGTATATACAGATATCAGAAAACATAATGGCCCTTGGGATATAACACACACTACTCCCATCTGACAATTAACCATTTTACAATCAAATCACTGTATTCTTTTTTTTTTAATCATTGAAATTGATCCTTCCTTTCCCTGACTTTATTAACTAGTCTTTACATGACACATGGCCAAAAGCTTTATTAAAATCCAAATAAATATACATTACATTTCCTCCTCCAACTTTCTCTGTTCATCAAAAACTGTGGTTCGATTAGTCAAACACAGTCTGCCTTCACAAATTATGCTGGTTCTCCTTAACTAACTCAAACTTTTAGTGCTTGTTGATTCTTATTTTCACTGATTATTGATTCTAAGAACTTACCCACTACAGATGTCAGACTGTTCTGAAGAAGTCATATTGACTTGAAACGTTTAGTCTGTCTCTCCTCCGATGCTGCCAGACCTGCTGCATTTCTACCACATTTTCTCCATTTTATTTCAGATTTTCAGCATCCGCAGTATTTTAATTGTATCTGATGTCAAATTGACCCACCTATAGTTACTAGTTACACCATCTGTGGCATCTTTGTCCAAACATTTGCCACTTTCCAATCCTCTGGCAGCTCCCTTGTATCATGGAGTCTTGAAAGAATTTTGCAAGTCCGTCTGTTATCATCCTTTATCACCTTGGGCTGCAAGTCATATGATTAGTCTACATAACTGCTCTAATCAATCGGTCTTATTGGTACATCCTGCAA